ATGGGACACTCCTTTATGCATTTCACAGCTTATTATTAATTTATTTCTTTTACTGTGACATCTGTTCTCCTGGTTGATTACATTTGCAAGTAACTATCTGGTCCAAGATTTTATCTCTGAAAATCTTGTTTTGGTGAGGATAAATATAGAAAGTCTGACCTATGTTTGTTTATACGTAAGATTATCCTATTTCTTGTTAGTATGTTTTCAGTGGTTTTGCCTTGTCATCTCAAAGGTCTTTCCATTGGCTGTAGCACTAAACTGAAAAAAACGTTTTCGTGAATTGAAATTTTTTAAGGGAAGGAATGGCAGAATTCTGATTAGAGAGGAGCAGAGAGAGCAGGGAAAAATAGGTACGGTTGGTGCACGTGTACTTCTGACTCTGAAAGAACTTGTGTAAATATGGTGCTTAATTCTCCAAACTGGGCCTGATGCTCAAGTTGAAAAATTCAAAAGAACCAAAGCTCTTTTCTGGGAAGAGATAAGTTTAATTATTGGTGGCTGGAGAGGCTTTGAGGCAGTGCTTAAAATCCTGGGTGCCTTTGCTGAGTTGTTTCTAGCCTGAGGCAGAAAGTGAAGACTTAGCCACCTGCTTCTTTCCTTGTTAACCACACTTGAATGGGGGGAAGAAATGGATGATTTGCCAGCTACAGACCTGGGTTAACGAGCCACTTTGTAGCCAGCTGGCTAGCAAACTGCTGTTCTGGAGTCCTCCAGAACCATAGCAGGAGGCATAGCTGCTGTAGTGCTGCTCCGAGAGAGGTGTTAATGGAAGATCGGTCGTCAGTTTTATCTGTGCATTGGTCTGAACACGATCTTTAGTTTGTCCAAAGGATTTCCTGCAGGGGGGAATATACTGTACAAATAATGTTTAAATAACAGCAGTGGCAAAAGGGAGGGCATTCTTTATCTTGGGAAACCGTATCAGATGTCCAGGTTCTGTGGAGGAAGTGATTCCTGCAAAAACAATAATCTCTTGCAAGTTGCCTACTTGAAAGCTTTTTGGGATGGAGTACTAAGCCATAAAAGGAAAAGGCTACTCAAAGTAACAGGGAAGCGTAAAGCTAGTAGAATGGGATGAAAAAGGGTTATGTATTTAGGTGGCAGCCATTCGATGTAGATGTGGTTTGAAGAGTGTATTGGGCTGTTTGGAGTATTTTTTCATGTTATGCATACTTCAGATAATTGGCTGACACTCAAAGAGCAAACTGCTAATACTTTCAGATTTTGTTTGGGTTTTTTTCGTGAATTTGGATTGCTTAAGAAACTCTGAGTAAGTGAAACAGGATTTTTCCCACTGGACATATATCAGTGTATTTTGAATACCACCTTAAATTCTTGTTTTCCCACCTCACAGTAACAGAATTAATGTATGCAAGTAGCTACTTTTGCAGGAAATGATCCCCATCATGTGAAGAAGATATTTTGTATCAGTGGATTATAAATCCTTCAGTAGTCTTTAACAAAAGCAGCTGTCCTCTTTTAGACTTAAGAGTTTGTGAATAAATACAGTAAAAGATGTTAGAAAACGAGTATTATAAAGATGCTGAAAATACTAAAATCGTATTTGAATTAGGTTACACAAATGAAAGTTTACTCTTAAGCAATATAATGCATTGTGTTTGTATGAAGAAAAACATCTTACATGATAATTAAAAAGCACTGTAAGTGGATACTTGTTCTTTCTGCAAGTGAAACACGCTCCTACAGTACAACCGTTTCGAGTTAGAGCTCTGTTTCTGCCAAAGGGAGTGTGAAACGTCTGTGATTTCTTCACTTGGAGGTACAGTAATACTTTTGGCATCTGTTCTTTAAGGATCTGCAGGCTGGAAGTGAGTGCAAGCAAAACTGTCCCCTTCGGTGGGCCTCTTTTTTTTCCTTTTCCTTAAGCAGCTGGCAGAGTTAGTCTGTTCCTGTAGGATGAGTGTGAATTACCGCCACTCTGTGCCAGTGAACAGAACAGCCGCATTTAAAGGTTGTACAACAGAAAAAATATTAAGAACAGTGGGTTTTAGCTACCTTTGAACTGGTTCCTGAGGAGGACTGGAACATTGCTTTCAATTAACAAACATTATTTAGAACCAAACTGAAGCAGACTTTCAGCTAACAGTCAGGATGTGTGTGGTTTTGGTATGACATCCATCTGAGCACATGATGCTTGGTAAGTGCTGGAGCCTCGGTTATGATTCATTGGGGAGAAACATGGAAAACAATGTCTGTTTTTCAAGTGTTGGAGAAATGAATTTAAGGTTGGAATCATGTATAATTTTGCAAAAATAAACCTGCAAGTAGCTTGAATACCTCTGTTAGAAGGGAAGTAAAGTAAGGGTGATGGGTATGGCTGATGTGATAGCGTCCCACTGCCTGATGTTTGCTCAGCTTCTCACTGGTGCTAATTGCTAGCTATTTGTTAAGCCAGTGAAGATGCACTAGCATATTTGCCACTGAAGATGGAGTCCAGAGTTACAGATGCTGATTTTTAAGTCAAAGTGGAGTTGGGGGATGGTAAAGCTCTTTGGACAGCTGGATTTATTTGTAGTATATATTTTTAAATTATTTTTCAGACATGGTCAGAAATCCTTCTTTGTAATTATCTGCCCTTGCATTTGAACTAAGAGGTGCATCTCTCTGCTTGTTCAGTGCGTGTGGAATTTTTAAGCTAATTCATTTTGGTGAAATACAGTTATCTTCAAACACATGCAATTTTGATTGCCCCTTCAGACAAAGCATCTAGTATCGAAACAAGAATTACTTCTCTCAATAATAATAATAAAAACATAAATTGTAAGAAAATTATTTTTAAAGTTACATTTTAAACTAAATTATTTAATATGAAATTGATGAATAGTCTATAAATAATTTTATGTACAATTGTTTTACAAGTGGAGTCAGATGTCTGTAGGATTTGCTATTTATATTTAAATAGGAGGGCCTCAGAAGTGCTGGTATATTTTCACAAGGGCAAAGCTATCATGTTACTATTCTACACGGTGCTGTAAACTTTTCAGCTGGGCTCAGAAAAAATAATACCTGACGTGGAAGTAGAAGCTTCAGGTATTTTTCGTTTTTTGCTAAGACTATATAGTTGAAGGTAAATGAATTGAGGAGAAGATTTTTGAGGAGTGGAGTATAAACAATTCCCTGCCCGGAAGAGGAGTTGTTCTAATTTAGGAAGAGGGAATTATTTGCCTACAGAAAGGGCTAGGGTTGTGGTCTGCTGAGATCACTGAGATAACTCAGTACTTTTAGGTATCTTTAGGGAAGATCTGCCTACTGTGCTGTGCTTCCTGGCGTCAGACTGATACCATTTCCCAGTTTCTTGGTCCCTTCTTCCAAAAATCTTTGCAGAAAAGTTCTGTTCTTTTTTTTTTTTTTTTTTTTTGTTTTTTTTTTTTTTTTTTTTTTTTTTTTGGCAGCAAAACTATCAGTTTGCCAGTATTTAGGGCTGTGACTTCTTGTTTAAAGTGAGGATGAATGAAATAGGTGCTATTGTGTAAAATGGAAAATGTCTTTTGCTTGGGAATTTCGGTAGGTTTGTTCATCACTGGTCACTTGAGAGCCCTGACCCCCCCAAATGCAGCACTAAGGTGTTGAAATCCCAGTTCTAAGAAAAAAACCCAAACAACTGGTGTAGCTACATTTTTTGTTTCGTTTTTACAAGTATTTTTGGTGAGGGAAACAAAGTTTTTCCTTTGAAAATCAGCTTGTGCTTATTAAAACAAAATACAGTCATTCTGAACAGGGATTTTTTTTTTTTTTCTTTGAGGCAGTGAAAAGTAGGAATCTACTGGAGCTGTATGTGTTTTACAGCCTCCAAATGGTTATTTAGATTGTAGTAGACCAGACAATATTTAGTTGAAAAGTAAGATTTTGGCTTGCAGCCACCAAAGATACTGCATTGCAGCAAGAAGAACAAGCCATCTCTACACAGCATTGCCTTTATCACTTAAACAAGGATTTTAGCAATGTCTTTTCATGTGTTATTTCCCAGGGTATCTAATGGCTGTTGTCCAGGTACAAAAACAGTCTGCAAAGGCGCGCTATTTATGAAGTTCCATACTTGCTTCCCTAAGGGGTGGTGAAGGATTAGTTTGTTGTGTTCCGTAGCTGTTTCAGTACTGTAATTCAAGATGAGGCTACTGTACTTTAAATATAGAGCCTGTTGTGTTGCCATTAAGTCACACATTTGCATCAGTCATTAGCTCAGAGCAATGCAATTCTAAACTTCTTTCTTCTGAATGCTGATACTGCAGAGTAGTCTTGTGAATTGAAATTGTACCAAAGCTGGCAAAAGATCGAAATGTAGCACTGTGAGAATGTATTTCCTGGTGGTTTGTGTGCTGCTTTATTGTGTCTAAATCTGGCCTGTAAAGGAGAATTCAGGAAACACATGATTTTCAGAGAACGTCTTGAGCACCAGCTGTGAAACCTTAAAGGTTAGATTTTATGGTCGATTCTGCTAATCTGCAACTACTAATTTGTAATTAGTTAAAAGGGACAAGCGATAGGCGGGGGGATAGAGCGGAGGCATCCGAACCATTACAAATTGCATTGTTATTCTGTTGGCTGTTCCCTCCTAAGCATGTCGGGGGAATTTGGCGTAGAGAACAAGCTGTGTCCTGAGGTTCTCAAGTCGCTGGTTGCCTGGTACCATATTAACCCTAGCTTGTACCATGATAAATGAGTTGAGTTTTGAGTCAGGCAGGAATAGCAGATTTCTAACTTACACCACCAAGTGACTCTCGAGCAGGCTGAAGAGTAGCACTGAAGACTTACGATGAGTTCAGCAAAGGTCCTGTTCCTGAATAGAGCAGAGATCTGCACCCTCATCTCAAGAAAGATTACAGCTTTTCTAGCTCTTACATGAGAGGGGCCACAAGGATGGCAAAGGTACCGGAACAGTCTTTATCTGAAGAAAGTAGTACCCTGGAGAAAAAAGGTTGCTGAATAGAGATGAACTCAGGAGTGGCATGAAGATGATAAGCAGGGAGCGATGGCTTTCTCTCTCTCCTAATACAAGAACTAGGGCAGTAGCAGAGCAAGCCGTTAGATTTTAGGTTAAAAAGAAACAAAAAGAGCCCGTGAAGAAAAGGTCCTTAACAAAGCATGGAGTTTAAACTGTGGAATCCATTGCCACAGGATGCTGCCGAGGCTAAAAGTTTACATGGTCTCAAAAGCCACTTAAACAAATGCCGTGCAACACAGCGACCACCCCTGACTCCCGGGGCAGGGTTACGGCAGAGCATCCCCGCAGCGTGTGTCGGGGTTTTAGATTCCCCGCGAGGCTGCCAGCACGGCTGCATGGCCGTGCCGGGTTGGGGGCACTGGGCGAACCTGCCGTGCTGAATGTGCGAACAGTGGGAGGTAGTGGTGTGGGGTTGGAGGATGAATGGGAACACCAGCGCCGTTTTGGTTTTAGATGATACGGAGAAATCAGCTTCAAGACAGAGCAGTAGTATTGTCTGGTTTTAACTAACATAAAACAACAAGTATCCATTAGATAAATCTGAGTAATTATTTCATTTATATAAACCCGCAAGATTTTTCTATAGCATTTTTGTTGATAAGCTTTGGGGTTCCTTATTTTCCTCTGTTGCCAGGGCTTTTTTTGACAGACTTTCTCAGATGTTGAAATAGGCAGTAGCTTCTTGGAGTTGTAACTTATTTCAATATTGAATACTATTTGTATATCTTAATTTCTTGTATTACAGAAAAGATTTTTCTGTTCTTTTTCTGTCTCTGCCTAACATTCATCAGAGCATTTTGAAAGATTGCTCCTGCATATCAATTTGCTATGATATGCTTAAAAAGTGGGGGAAAAACACTCGTAAATGGATTTTACCCACTTACACACAGGACATATAGGACACTTCACTATTACTTCAAGAATCTTCCAAAGACAGAATGTATTTTCCGTAGAACCAGCTTTTTCCTCAGCTCTTTCTTACAGGAAAGATAGCCTGAGCTTGCTCTTTCACACTGAGGCACTAGGTATTGCAGGGTGTTAACTCTTACAATACTAGTATGTTCCAGACTGCCAATCATACCCGTGCTCACCTAGCTAAGAGGTTATGAACGACTGCCTTCACCAGTGTGAACGAAGTACCTATCCTTTGATTCACTGGTTTGCCTTTAATGATGATTATATATCTGTATGGAAACTGAAATATCTCACACTAAGTACAAAATCGGTATTATTTTAATTGCAGTGAGTGATAGGCTAATTATGTGAGTACATCTACTGAGATTTACTGTTCAGTAGTAGTTTGAAATTACTCTTTTGAAGAACAGTTGTAATTAAATGATTCTGAGGTAAGTGCAGTGTAGTTTGCTTTTCCTTCATTTTCTGCTCTGAAAATTTTGCTTCCTGCCTTGACTCACTGCATTTTGCTGGTATCAGCCTATGTCTTTTGAGTAAAATAAGCTTTTCTTGGGCTTCAGCAATGCTTAGAGAATATTGCAGTGTTAGGAGACAGAGTGGGATTAATAGTATGTTAAATGAGGTGTCTGATCTTAACAAAACATGATCAGTTGTTACTTTAACTCAGTAAGATTTAAATTAGATTAGATAAGTATTAGATTAGCATTTAGATAAGTATCTGAAGAAATTCTAGACTGAATAAAAAAGTTGTTTGCCAGAGCTTGCATATGTAAATCATTGGCTTATCTTTGCAGGGAGGTGGCTGGATAGACCAGGGATACCTCACTGAGGGATTCTATATCTATACCCCTCCTCACAACCAAGCAAAATGCATTGCCTCATGTTTCTTAAAGGGATTTAACGTTCCATATCTCATTATAGCTTGTAACAATAGTAAGTCCTTTGACTTTTTTATCTCTTTCATGCATTAGAAACAAGACTGCCAATGGAGATTATCGGAAGGAGCACAGAGAGAGGAGTCGCAGCCCAATAGAGAGGGCTGCTGCCCCAACAATGAGCCTTCATGCCAATCACATGTATGCCTCAATCCCAAGCTTGACCATGGATCAACCTCTAGCACTGACCAAAAACAGCATGGATGCAACCCGAACAGTTGGCATCACACCTACACTGACTTCTGTGGAACGGCAGCAGGTACTGGCTTCTAGGTTGACAAGAAACTCTGGGAGGTTGTAGGATTCCTTGCTGTAGACACAATGAGGACTTCCCAGATGTAAGCAGAACGTATTGTGAGTTACAATAGGTAGGCGATACTATTCTTCAGGCAAGATGTATTTTAAAAATGCACAATGAATGTCACAGCTCATTGTGTTTAATGTGAATAAATCGCTGATGTTTAAATGTATCTGTCACAGATTTCTTGGCCTTCCTGCTTTTTCTGATGCTTTGCTAAGCTTGTGAATGGACATGTTTTAACTGGGAAAGTAAAATGTGTGGTTGGGCGAAGCTCCAGCACCTGCTAGGCAGTAACTGATGCAGCTTACAGGTAAAGAGGGTATTCATCTGTGCTGCTCTTGGCCATCAGTGCGTGCTTCCCTTCCCTCTGTCCCAGCTCTCTCCTGCCAGGCCTGCTGAAGAAGAGGTACAAGGCAGAAAGGGCATAAAGGAGAATTTTGCACTGAATTTTCCAGGTGAAAGAAGCTGGAATGACCTTAGTTGTTTTAGCCAGCCAAAAGCATTCATTGCATTGTTCGGGGCAACGTTATATCACTATTTCATAATGACTTTTTCTAAAGCAAAGTAATGATTTTTGATTATTTTATAGTTTATTTCCATATGTTGGAATGGGTTTTTTTTGTTTCGTTTTGGTTTTGCCTGGTGGTTGGTTTTTGGCTTGCCATCTTGTATATTGTATTTGTTTTCCTTCAGAACTGCCGAAGATGAGCCATCTCTATGCAGTTTATACAATAAGTTGTCTTATATGTCAGACTCGCTTTTACCCCTCTCACAAGTGGAGAGACAAAGCAAGGGAATTGGGTTGTGATGAGCTGTAGTGTTGAGAAATTAAACTGGCGCATGTACCCAAGCTCTTCCTTCCGTCCGTCCTTCCTTCCTTCCTCCCCTACTGTGATGCCTGCAAAGGGTAAACACTTTGAGTGGATGATCTTTCAGAGGTTGGGATTTTTCATATGTAATTTATAAAAGCTGCTTTTCACTGAAGCCATGTGCTTTACATCTACTGTGTAGATTTTCACGGTGGCTGGCTATGTAAGCTAGTCTTTTACATTTTGCTATGCCAAAATGCCTAGCTTTACGCTGGTGTTGCTGATATCTTGCATCATTTGGCACGCAGATTGCAGAGTTATTGTTCCGTGCGGAACGACTCTTCTTTGCTCTCGGCGTTCAGTGATGACAGAGGAGGAAGGGACAGGCTTCCACTGACGACACTGGTGCCCTTTGATAGTATTACTGCTGCGTCTCAGCTTAGCAGCTGACACCACTGACACTCTTCTATTTTGGTGTGTTTGACTTGGGCTGATTCCTGTTGCCCGTTACCAGATTCGTCTCTCTTTTGTTATCTTTGACATTTTGAGCTAGATTACAATCTATTTTCTTGGGAAAATAGGCTGTTGAGGTAAGACCTTGCTAAGAGCACAGATTAGAAATCATACAAAGAAAAAGGTGTATTGAAAATAAGAAACCCTAGTTTGATGATTTGTGGATGGTTTTTTTTTTTTTTCCCCCTTTTTTAACCTTAACATGTTGAATGGGATTTCATCTTTGTTTCTAATAAAGAGGTGGGAAAAAAATACCTTCTTATTTTAGGCAGCGTAGGGTTATTCAGCTGCTGTAGTCGCTGTTACTAAATCCTCAGCTTATCTCAGTATTTTCATATAAATACATATAGTCTGCTCCATGCAGCCGTACGCACAGCACCATACCAGGGGATTCTGTAAGATGCCTTATCCTGCCTCTCAGATCCTTTGTGATGTTGGTACATGCATTCTTGAGACAAGCTCTTCTATTACCTGTCTCTCTCTCTACTTCCCACCTCTTGCATGTCTAAAATACTCTTCGGAAGTGCTAAGCGTGTGTACACTTCTCAAAAACCGCTTCATAGATGCACAAAATGTTGGCCCCTGTAAAAAGGAGAATAAATACTCCCACGTGTAAACTGCTTACGGAAAAATCAAATAATTCACTTTTTTCCTTAACTGCGCTGACAGCAAAGTAAAAAAAGTAATTAAGATGTAAATAGTGTCATTCCCGTTGTGTCTAGAGGAATAGCGTTAAACCTCCGCTTGAAAGCTCATCTCTTTTACTTTGGTCTTGCTCTTACTCTGTCTAGACTAAAGTACCAGTGAACAATGAAAATTCCTTCCTTCCTCGTTGACTTTGTATGGTGGTAGGTAAAGGAGTGATTTTTGTGGGATTGCTGCACAGATTTGTAAAATGAACAAGAAATTAAAACTGTGTTAATTACATCAATTCTGTTAATCTTTTGGACGCTTAACAATTAACTTGCATTGAGTATAGCAAAATGGACTCCTTGCATCATAAAATGTACCAAAGATGCAAACCAAAAATAGTTCAATACCTGTGTTACTTCCCTTCAGCCACCTGGAGAAACTGGGACATTTCTTTTCCGAAGGCCTTGTTTCAGTGTAACATTTACATAGTAAATAGACTATAGAAGAGTATTTTATGTTTATTCTTTGTACAAAGTATACATTGTGGAATTAAGATTATGTGAATAGACATTTTGGGGAATTTGCATGTGTTGAGAATGAAGAAGGATGATGTTTATTAAGTAGTGCTGGAAAGGCAGATTAATTACAACAGGAAAGTACTTGCGGTCAAGACTCGCTGAGGAGCTCCTCATACTTTACATCTTACGCGCTTATTGTTTTGTGGCTGAAGTACGGAATACAGAATTAGGCTAAGAAAACTTAACTTCTGAAAGAAAAATGATAACATTAAAACTTGATTAACGCTAAGAAGACAAATACCTGTAAAATCTGTAAAGCCCTTCTGAGTCCTGGAATCACAAGGATATCTGGACATAGAATGAAACAAATATTTAATGTGTTGACGTTTAGTTCTGCGTACGTAATGCCTGTGAAGTTGAAACAGTTACTGTAAAATCACTTTAATGCTTTTAATGATTTGCTTTTATACTGCCCTTTTTCTGTATGGCTGCTTGCCACTTAAATAACCAAGAATCATTATGGAAATGCAGTGTTGTTTTTTTTTTTTTAATCGGACAAAGAAATAATAGCTGAATATTTTGGGGTTTAATAATATGCTTTATTGAATTGGATAGTTTATGGGTTATTTTACTGCTGGAACTCAGTTCAGGGTACATCTCAAGTGATTATGCAGTGAACTGCTGCTAACATGGCTTTAGCTGATTGCCTTAGTGAGTGACAGTTTTCTTTCTCATTCCATGTTAGAACCGTCCATCCGTAATCACCTGTGCGTCTGCGAACAACCGGAACTGTAACCTCTCTCATTGCCCCATTGCTCACAGCGGCTGCGGGTCAGCAATGCCTGCCTACAGAAGACCCTCTAGCAGTAAGTTACATGTCTGCACTCTTAACTGCCCGATTAGAATTTGAGGAGAACAAAATCGTCTTGATCATTGTAACTGTGTAGGCACTGACGTGTTAACAGGAATAACAGGAGGTGAAACAATAGACACCTCTTTGTATCCTGTCTACCCAGAGACATGCTGGCACAGATGCCCTCTGCAGTCTTTCTAACCATCAATCCTGTGCCACAGTAGAAAGTACCAATTCAAAATTAGGGGGAGAGAGGTGTTCCTTTTTCTTGTTTTGAAAAGCTGCTTTAAAAAAACAAACACCCCACACAGACAAATCAGTCATTATGTTTATTTTCGTCTAACTGACAAACAGCAGACGTGGCCAGCAGATCCAACCATGCTCTTATTTTAGGAGCTGTAGTTTCCCCAGTCTGTCAGTAGTCAGTAGACTTCTACGATTCAGCTGCAGTCACGAAAATCTTTTCCTGCAGATACAAATACTCTTCCAGAGCACATACCCTCCACCGTTCTCCGCATGGATAACACAAAAAGCTTTGGAGGGCAGTTGCTATAGCAACCCAAGCAGGGAGCTTTAGCTTTCTACCTTCTGTGCAACTAGTACTTTTCATGAAATCTTCTCATGCAGTACTTGCTGGGGAACCTTGGGCTGTTCCTCTTTGCTTTCTCTCGCTGTGTGAGTAGGGGAAAACACAGCCTTTTTCATGTCAAGTCACATACTTGCTGATGCATAGCTTTAACACACAGCATTTCCAAAAGTCTATGGCAGTGAGGCTTCATCAACCAAAATGTGTCAGTGTAACAATACAGTATGACGTAGGTAGGAACCTAAAAGTCCGTAGTAAGATGATGATGATGATTATGATTATATATTTTTTAAAAAAGATCAATTGTTGAAAACTGGAATTAGAAGCTGAGGTGAGAGCCTGGAGGATGTATTACACTCTTAGAGAAGTCTGTAGTTCGAGATCTAAGATGTTGGAAATTCTCTAGAAAACTGCTGTTACTTGTCTATAAGGAGAGCATCTTCATCGAGACCCCAGCTGTATTTACATGGGCTTTGGAACAGTTGTAAACATTTTCTGAAAGTATTTGTCTCTTGTCACTTGAAGAGGTCTTTGTGCGTGACACTCGCATTTATTTTAGGATCAGTCAAGCCTCTCTGTAGCATGAAGGACAATGGCATGGATCCCAACAGTTTTAAGTATTTTTGAAGGATAAAATTCATTTAGACACACAGATTTTGTTTCTAAATTGTGAAACTGCAACTCTCTCATATTTAGTTTGAGGAATTCTTACTGTTACAATTCAAAACCAGATTTTTAAGGTTCTTTGTTCCTCTTGTAACAGTATGACACCATTTTAGTGCTCGTAGTACCTAATGCAGAGGTAGTGATTTGTTTAGTTTTCCGACTGGCTCCTAGCACAAGTATGTCAAGTAAGATGAAACCCTGAAATCAGCTTTTGGCATGCTGTGATTTAGAATGGGGTCTCCTCACATCTGACTGGTATCAGCAGGCTTGGGAGCTGATTTTAAAGAACTGTTTCCATCTTTAAGCCTAAATATAAGTTCTATGTGATTGTTTTGGGAGAGGGTTTCCACAGACCCAGAGCTGTAGCTGTTACTAGCCTGAGGGAGAACTATAATTACATATAAAATGCTTACCTGGAACAGGTCACAGAAATGCAAAAATATTTAACTCCATTTATTACTGTTTTTTCCTTTTAACTCCTTCCATCTTCTTCCCCACCCCATTCACTACCAGTTCTACAATGACGTAAAGAAGTCTTGCTTTCTGCTGAGGGGATAGGAAAATGGGGGAGAATACGGGTTCTGAATTCTGCCCTGAAATAATGCACCTTCTGCCTCCTTTCCCCATCCAGCTACCACTGCCTGTGACCCAGTGGTGGAAGAGCACTTCCGCCGAAGCCTTGGCAAGAATTACAAGGAGCCTGAGCCAGTGGCAAACTCTGTGTCCATCACAGGATCAGTTGATGACCACTTCGCCAAAGCACTTGGGGATACGTGGCTTCAGATCAAAGCTGCGAAGGACGGAGTCTCTAGCAGTCCTGAGTCTGCTTCACGGCGGGGCCAGTCTTCCCCTTCCTCTCATATGGTCAATCATAATCACTCGCCCTCTGTGGTCTCATGAAGAGAGGACCGTTACGTTTGTGAATTTGCATGGTTTGACTGAGCTTTGAACAGTGCTTAAAATAGTGTTGGGGGAGGGGAGATTAGTTTTCAACACATGTTTTTGTGTACTCACTTTTTATTTGTAAAAGGGTGCCCTTAAAGATGATAGCAGGAACTATTTCATAAAGATTCATATGATGTAGCATCCTTTTTTCCTGCCTCAATTACCAAAGAAACCTCTGATGCAAATCTGCTGCCCCTTAAAAAAAATAATGCACGCTAATCCACAAAAGCCATTACACTTAGTTGGTTGACCCAAATGCTTTTTGCTTTTATTAGCTTCTTGAGACTAGAATTTGTCTGGTTTGCTTACTTTGCCTCTTTTTTTTTTCCCTCTGTGAAGTAATTTTGTATGTATATACTTGAAAAGAACTGTCATGTATGATTTGCACTATTGGAGGAGGACTGAAGTTGCATAGCAACTTTCTGGAAGATGCTAATATTTTGAGGGCAAACTGCTGAAAAAAGGGTTTAAGGATGACATTTCTATCAGTTTGATTTTTCTTAAAGCAAAACAGCTTTGGAAGGGGAAGTCTCATACAGGTTATAGGTCTTTCTCTCTTTAGATTTCAGGTGCTTAGTGCTTGCAACTGGACTGCATAATTTACAGAACACGGGCATTTTTTCCTAAACACTGCAGTTTGTTAGAATAGAGCTGAGGTTGGAGGGTTCAATAGTGCTTAACGATGCATGTTTTATGAAAAATAGCTGGTATCTATTAATGTATAGACAGTAAGGATCATAATACTTATTAGCTTTTCTTCAGAATTAGTTTATTTTTGTCAGTAACAATCCTAGATATACTTACTGCTGGTACAGTTGTACTCTATGATATTTGTATTTGATATTCACTTTAGTAGCAGCCAGCAAAAGAGGACAGCCTCCGGACAGGCCTCAAATGACGCAGTTTAGAGATATATGATGCGTGGTACAGGATGCTATAGCTTTGCGCATGACTGAGTAATTGTTTCTGTCTGCAGCACCGTCTGCTTAACGGGAATTTGCTTCCTAAAACTAAGTCTGTGTAATCCACCTTTAACTAGCTGCAGAAACTGCTACTGTTACGTATCTTGGCTGGACAACAGATTGTTACAGTTTGTGAAATATGATCTTTAATTTTTTTAAGCTTATTCATAAACCTATGCCAAGTTGCAGCATACATTCCTCCATTAGAAAACTTTATACAGGTATTACTGCATTTATTATCATTTGCTATATTAATAGCTACTAACTAGAAATTAGGCAATAGAGGCAGGCATAAACCCACAGCTGTGCTAGTACTAAGAGCTTCTCTTCTTCTTGTTAAGTGTAACTACTCTCCCCCATACATTCCATCTTCCCAGTACAGTTGCAACTAGGGCTTTTTTTTATGCTGGGTTACCTGAAATGATTGGTTCAGTGTAGAAAGTTAGAACTAGTTGGAAGATGAACTACACGTGATGTATTATGGACTTATGGACTATGTTACAGTATTGGGTCCATTGTGGCTTTTTATTTTATGGTTTTTTTTAAAGTTAAGCTATTTAATCTGGAAAAAGGTGCAGGGTAGAAAGAGATCAGGAGATTGGCTCTTACTCTTGTTGAGAAGGTGGCTGCTCAATTTTCTTTAAAAAAAAAAAAAAAAACACCCCACCTAAGCCCCCAGTTTTTACACATTTCACTACCATCTTACTGGGTAGTCAACGCTTACTTGCTTTGGCATTCAGTACCCTACTCTCTGTAGGAAGATTGTTAAAAGAACACTTTTTTATATAGGTAACTTTAAGACCATCGTTACGCTGTGCGTAAAGAATGTACAGAGAAATTTGTAGGTATTTTTTGAGGAACAATTAATTTGTTAATGATATGTAGCTATTTAATTTTTCCCTTTCCTTTATTGTAATCATTCATTTTTTTGTTTGGAGAAAAAAGTTGATCTTTTTTTTGTTGTAGATTTGTCTGTAATACGGTAAAAGTGCAGGAACACAGTTATTCTATGAGAACACTGCATTAGCATTAATAGCCACTAGTTTGTTATTGCTACAGGCTACTGAGCATTATAACAGTAAAATACTAATACTGTAGATGGACTCTGTGGAAAATGTGACTCCTATATTTCTTTGTAAACACAAATAAGATAATGTTTTTAAAGCTAATATTTTCAATAATAGCTGTTTTACAAGGTTACATTTACTTATCTGAGATAGGTAAATGGATTTGAGGGCAATAAAGATTTAATGTGATATGTCCAGTAAAACATATATTAGACACAATAATGTCATGAAAGCCAAAGGGTTGGGGGGAGGCGGAAGGAAACTAAACTGAACTCACCATCATGAGACGTGGTGAAGTTTCTTCACAGAGCCAGGTTATCTACAGTTCAGTCTGAAAGATTCTCTCTGTGTTTGTAAATCTGTAATATACCATTCTTTTGTGGCCTTGTTTCACCTGGGAAAAAAAAAGGTTTGGCAGGCCATCTTTTTTTTTTTGTACTTAAAAGTAGCCTTAAAGAACAATAAAGTGCTCTTAAATCACCGGTGTGTTCATATCTTCTGTATTGTTTGGTGAGAGAGGTTGGTTTCTCTACTTCCTGAGCTGGGAACAGAAACAGACTACTGTCAGGTCATGTTTTCCTGCTCGTTTAGGACTGTTACCCCCCTGAAGGGGCTGGCATAGCAGCAGTCTGTTGGGTTTTTTTTCCCCACACGATCAGGAGTTTGTCAAGAAACAGTCTTTACAACTACAAAGAGAACCTGTTGCCGCCGCAGCAGAGATGGGCAGAAATATGCCCGGCTGTAGGAGGACATCTCCGGCCACTGAACACACACTGGCGGCAGTGCCCTGATCAGTCTGTGTGTGTTTGCCCGGCACTGCTCTCCGTACGGGGCTGAAGCAGCTGTTCTGTTCCTGATGTCTCTCGCCAGCAGCAGCTCCTGAACAGTGACCGTCCTGGAAAATACCAGCTGTCGAGCATTTCTGTACTGCCTGTTTATGAAAAGACCAGTATCTTAACTTTCATTTTGTTTTGTCCCTCAACTTCTTCACCTTTTATCTAGAGAACAGAAACTATTGCCTAAAGACAACACCTGTATTTCAAATGTAGCCATCCATGCTCTTGCGTTTTGGGGAGCAGCATTTCAGTAGAAGATCATTCATTTGACTGGAGACGGTTAATCCTTAAAAACAAGTGTTCTAATTACCTGAGAAAGTTCGGTGAACCAGGCAAGAGCCTTCAGAGGAATTTCAACTCTGAATGTAGTAGAGGTGTCTCCAAAATTAAAAAAGGAACCCCTAAAAAAATAACGAGATACAAGTTACTATTGTATTAGGAGTGCCTAAACGGTTTGAGAAACAAAGTAGGCATGACATGCATGTACATTGTTAAAGCAGATGGCTATTTTGGGGTGTGGGAGATTCCATGAGAACACATCAAGAATGATTAGTTTAACACATCTGAAAAACATCCCTCTCTAAATACCCGTGGAAAGAAGCCTAAATACATGCTTTAAGAGCTTTTGGGAGGGAGGCCAACTACAACAAGCCTCACACGCCTCTCAGTCTGCTTTCTGAAGGGAGCTGGTTTCCTTTTAGGAAAAAGTCATCCCTACATCAACATTTTGGGGACTACATGAAACAGGACCAGCAGCGTTGCTATCTTTCAGGTCAGTAGCTTACAGAGTGTTCTATTGTCTGCACGCTAAAAGGAAAAATACAGTAATTTTTTTCCTACCACATGATTTTTCTAATTAGCAGCAAGCAGTAATTTTGCACAAAAGGGTAGCACCACGGCCTAGAAAAACTGGACCATATGCACACATTTCATATTATTATTAAGTACTATACTATTTGTAACGGCTTACCTTTTTCTGTGAACTAAATTAAAGGCAACTTCCAGCTATGCGTTTGTATTCTCACACACGTAATCTTTGCTAATTTAAACCAGAATTTTAATTCTAGAAAACAGACCTGACATCACAAATATAGTAGGGATTGACCTTGGATCTTTCTCCACAGTTCAGTGAGTGACTGAATACCGTTTCTAAGTATTTCAAGCTGCTTTAGTTGTGAAAATGAACTTTACATACAAATATGTGTAGAGGCTAGATTGAGAGATGGCGATAGATTGACACAATAGCGGTACAACAGGCGTATGTAACTGCATATAGGTACATAGGCAGTATGTACCTATAGGCAGTATACCTATACTCTGCTTATTTGGTAAACCTGTACTAACAGCGTTGCTGGTAAATGACCACTGAATGGATCCAGCAGATCGTGCTTACCCAGTAGGGCTGAAGGGACCTAGCGCAACGTTCATTTCCTTTAAAACTACAAACACACAAAGCAGCGAAGGGAGGCTGTAGACAGTACCAAGCTCCGGCTTGATCCCGGCGGGGTCTGTGCTGAGCGCAGGCATATTGAAGTCAGATGGCTGTAGAGGTTCCTGCCACTGCTGCGGAGAACACAGCAGGGAACTACTGCAGCTGCTCATAAAGCAGCTACACTACCACACAGTGTAACTGACTGTTAGACTTTAAATCTGGCACATGCACAAAATGTGAAATTGTAACCAATTCACCATCATAGACTGGAGCTGTAACTGCACCAGTTCAGAAGCTGCTTCACAAGCAGCAGCTGAACTGTCACTGCAGCTGGGCTGAACGCTCCCAGAGGGGTGCAGGGGCCGCTGGGGGTGGGAACACAGCCAGCTGTTCCTGGGAGGCCAAATCAGTCAACAGAGAAAAGATGTAAAATTGTCTTTCAGCCTCGTTCAGCAGCCTTTGTGCAACAGCACAGCTAGGAGAACTGCTGCTTACGCTGTACTAACTACTTACGTTACAAAAGAGGTGATCCACAATGGCTGTGTGAATGAAGGCTTCTCCAGTATCCAAACACCATGCCAGTATGTCATGGTGCTTAACGTGATATCCTGGCAAAACATATCAGAAGTATTTTAAATGTTATTTGTGTAAGAGCTCTACTCACCAGCGTTGGCACACTTATGCTTGGCTGAGGGGAACACTCACCACTATCTTTAGCTCCTTGAGGAACAGCGAAATAAGAAACCAGTCTGCATCTTCCTGATGTACAGGAGCTTCCATTTCATCTGGCACGGACACAGATCCAAGTACGTTACACGCAGCCGCTGAAGGGTGTCTCCAGCTCTCTTCCCTCACCAGACACAGCTGGATTATGTTCTGTGTTGAAGCATGCTTTATGCCTGAAGGGCCCATGACAGAAAATACACCAATTCAATAACTAAATAATTTTTTAACCTTCAATGGGAACATTCTGCCCCTCTCTGTGGAACAGCTATCTCAAGTGCATTTGTCAGGTATAAGAGAGCCAAGATAGATAATTTAATTGCTTATTTTTAAACTGCAGTTACATATAGCTCCACAGCAGCTGCCCTGTGCTTCAGACAAAGCTCTCCTATTTTCCCTTGGTGCTCTCCCGACGCAGCACACAAGGCAACAGCACTACGTGTCTCCAGAGGTGCACGAGGCAGGGCTCGCGCTCTGCCTCGGGAGTACGTTCGCCTCCTCTGGAAGAGAGGTTTTATATGGCTTTTACACCCAAGAGAGGAGCTGGGAGGCTCACGGGGTAGCACTCCTCACCAAGAGTGACATTGAATAAGCTGCTTTTTTTCTCCATCAGCAGGGCACAAGCCTTCATAAAGACCTGGGCAGGTATTACTTACCTCTGCATGTACGGCAAAACCAGGAACGTAACCACTGCAGTACACGGCCTTCCCACTGGTGCTCAACCTTCAGTCTTAGAACCTTCTTGATTGTAGCGAAGTTCCCGAGTGCATTCAGGCCTAATCCTGCCCAACCAGTCCCAGGGAGACGCTGTCACTAACCAGTCATTTCTGTAGAAAAGGTAAGGGGAGAGCAAGTCATTTCATCCTTGATCTAAAGCCACAGACACCACTTCTTTCTCCAATCCTCTAATTTCAGACTTTCTCTGAGACATTTAATAGTTTACAGCAAAATCAGGCGTCTTAATAGCACCCTCAGCACAGGCTGAAAGAAAGCTGCACAAGAAGACTAAGTCTTCTAAGTGTAGAACAGCCATTGCAAAAATTGCAAGACAATAAACTAAACTTTATTTTTAATTAAAACTCCAAGGACAAATCTGGTCCTGGTACATTTTATCTGACATAAAAATGGTAGGAGGAGCACTTTGCAGCAATAGGAATCTTCCACGGAGCTCTGGAGCTTTTCGTTCAAAACTACAGTTTGAATTCCTAAGTCTTCGGTCTTCCGCAAAAAATCCTAATGAGGTGATGCACTTCCTCCGTGTTTGTCCATGTTTACTCTAGACTAGCTGGTGAGCTTGGCATCAAGTTTGATTTTTATTTGCAGAAAAGTTTCAACTTTTCCTGCTTAATTCTGCTCGGCAAATCTGAGCATCACCTTTACAGAAAACCACAAATACACAAAGGCACGTTCCAGTGAGCAGGGCAGAGCACGAACTCCTCCTCTGGCGTGCGGGGGGACCCCTCTGCAGGCCACTCTGCACACACCCCCGGGGCCAAGACAGGGAAACATCACCCTCGCGGGCGAAGCACTTGGCCTCTTTGCCGAGACGCTCAATACTCCTGAACTTCACTCACGGGATTTTCCCTCTCC